GGTGAGACTAAAATTCATGTGCCTAGCAGGTGCTAACTGCACCTGCACTGGCATCTGCACTGCATGGGGATACCCTGTGTCTAGGACTCGAAAGCCGGCGAAGAGTGCCAGAGCACGTATCGTGCCATTCACTGAACGGAAAGGCTTTCGGGGCACCAGCAGCGCAGGAGTCAGGGGCCTGGAAAACAGACCGCAAGCTTGTGGGGCTATCCACATCTCTTTGGGCCCTCTGGAGGTCGGCTAGCATTTGCGCAGGCGACAAGCGCAGAATGGCAGGGTATGCCAGGGTAATCAGAAGGGTTGTGGAGCATCTGAGTTCCTTCTTACAGATTCTGTTGCAATGAATTGGTGTTATGGTGATAAGTTTCTTGTTCTTTTTGTTCCTCCGTCCTATCATCGCTATGGCAGTGGCTCCGTCAGGGGGTGAGGGTGTGAAGCAAGAGCGTTTGGTCTGGATTGGGGACAACATGGGAACACTGTGATCAGTTTCGAACGGACTACCGGACAGCAATGAGGGCAGCATGTCAACGGTTAGTTTCGGCGCACATGGGGAAACTTGGTGGTTAGCTACTTCTCAGAAAACGCTTGCCGCTGCACACGGCATGGCTCCAGGGCGCTGTGTGAAATCCCACGTGCTGTTTTTCGCTGCGACCACCCCTCACCACCGGCCACCAGCGCTCGGTCATGGCATTGCTGCGCGTATCGCTCTTTGTGCTGAGCCTCCAGGCAGTTCATGGCGCGCTGAAAGCTAACTTCACCAACAATACGCGAGGGCTGGCTGATGCGGATGCTGCCCCAGCACATGCCGGCTGTTTCGTGAAGAAGGGCAACGCCATGCTGGCCGTTAAGCTGACCTACGACGGCAACAAGTTTGACATCCCAGGTGGATGCACGAACGGGCGGGAGCCTGCAAAGAGGACCGCAGAGAGGGAGACCTGGGAGGAATCTGGCTATCCTGTAGAAGTCAACGAGCTCCTCGCCACGGTCCGTGGAGGCTTTCGCATCTACAGGCGGGCTTCTGCGATCTCCATGCTGTGTTGCTGCGCATTTGTGCCTGAACCCTCTGACATCAGGTGCTCAGTGAAGCAGCAGGACCCGGGCAAGGGACCCGATCATGAGGTGTCCAGCGTGCAGTGGATCAACCCTTGGGAGGTTGACAACTTCATGCAGCCTCTTGCTCATGATATGTTCTAGGAGCGTTTAAAGATATGGTCTTATATGGTTTCCATGTTGTATCTGTGGGAGCTGTAAAGACTCTAAGGCAGCACATGTGGAGATACCAAGATGAGCAGGCGTACCTGTATGCTCAGTGGCTTCGTGAAGGCGCTGAGAACCATGAGCAGAACCACGACGGCGGGCATCGCAGGCTCATCATGGTGTGATTGCGCCACGTGAGCGTCTTCCAATACCAAACCGGTGCCGGCAAAGGTCCGGAATGCCCGCTTGTGCATGCAGCGCTTTTGACGCGGGCAATTTTGATGTCTTGTCTCCAAGATCCGCGAGGCCGATTCTCCATGCATAGCGGGCGTGCGCGGTTTGCCAGAGTGGTGA